TTTGCGGCTGCTGCTTACCCTCTTAGTTCTTGTGTTTGTTTTTCACACAACTGTGAAAAACTCTCTTGCACATGACTGTATATAAAATCTATATCCTGGAGAGAATTTGTAAACATAGCGATGTAATCATGCAAGATACTGTCACAAAACTGAGCAAGCACACGTGAACGAGTGCATTAAATACATTGTTTTCATGCTAAAACTTCAGTTCATTATAGAGAAAATACAAACCCTTAAACTCGCTTATTCTAATCCAAATGCTTAATAATATCAGGATAATAGGTTCAAAAGTACAAAATGCTTATTGGACATATTTTTCCATGTCTAATTTCAGATTTACTACTGAAGCCTCTTAATAACAAACCTCTATGGGTTTCCCTTTATTCTGTGTATTCAGTTAATATTCTCATGATATCAGACATTTCCCCCAAATGCTTAGCTGAACTAAGAGCACAATGAGTTGCAAAGTAAAAATGTGTGAGTTGTTGATAGTGTAAAGCGGATTACAGTGTTTTGGATGCGTCTACCTCTGGGTTCCTCTCCAGCATCCGACTCTCCATGATCTCATAAGCAGGATCGGCTCTGCGTCTTTCCTCTTTACTACTAAGCCTTTTGTCTGGTGAAAGAGACGATATTGTGCATTTTAAATATAAGAAACAAAAACACATTTTGTTATTGTAACTCATCGGAAAAAAATTATATCACATTGTGTTGCTTTCTTTTCTTTTTTTGTTTAAATGCACTTTGTGAACCAAAGCAGACACAATTTTCTCCATGCAAATGGAGGAATTCGTGCAGATCGAGTGGTGAGAACAAACAACAAAGGCTTGATTCATCATCACACAATACTAAGAGTTTTTTCCTTTTTTCTTTTAAAGAACAAATAGTTAAATAGGATCCTTTTGTTGCTCAGTATGAATCATGGATAACGTGCAAAGGACAGAAATTGCACCCTGAATTTTGTTAAAATGTTTAAGATGTGTCATTTTGGCTTCATTTACTGTCAATATTTATAGATATAAATAAAATTATCATGTTGTCATCATTTGATCTGTGGAACAAATAATAACAGACCCCATCCTAAAATTTACTTATAACACACATATATAATTCCGACAATAGATTAATAAATGGTTACTCCTTTCCTAAAAAATGGTCTTTCTGTGCTCACAAAAAACTTAAAAATTTACAGATGACATTTCATTTAAAAAGTCTTAGTTAATCTTTCTGTAAACAGGATTAAATTCACGAGAGACCACTTACACCCACTGGCCACTTTATTAGGTATAATGTTCAACTGATCAGTGATGCAAATGTCTAATCAGCCAATCACACGGCAGCAGCTCAGTGCATTCAGACATGGTCAAGACGACCTGCTGAAGTTCAAACTGAGCATCAGAATGAGGAAGAAAGATGATTTAAGAGACGTTTGACATGGCTACACTTCACACAAGCTCACTAGAACTGGATACTAAAATATTAGAAAAACGGTGTCTACTCTGAAGAGTTTTGAAGGGTCAGAATTTGGTGTAAATAACATGAAAGCGTGTATCCGTCCTCCCTTGTATCAACAGTTCAGGCTGCCGGTGGTGTAATGGTATGGACGACATGTTCTTGGCACACTTTGATCCCCTTAGTACAAACTGAGCATCATCTAAACACCACAGCCTACCTGACCGTTGATGCTGAACATATCCATCCCTTTATGACCAGTGTACACTGATGGGAGAATAACACACCATGTCACAAAGCTCAAATCATCTCAAACATTCCCATGAAAATAAGTTCATTGTACTCAAATGACCTCCATAGTCACCAGAGCTTAATCCAACAGAGCACCTTCAGGATGTGGAGGAACAGGAGTTTCCCATCATGGATGTGCAGCCAACAAATCTGCATCTACTGTGTTATACTATCATTTCAACATGAACCAAAATCTCTGAGGAATGTTTCCAGCACCTTGTTGAATCTGTGCCATGAAGAATTAAGACTGCACTGAAGGCAAACGAGGGGCTCCAATCCAGTATTACCAAGTGGACCTAATAAAGTGGCCAGTGAGTGTATAAACCCTCTAAAAGTTGTGTCATTTTTTATTACACTTCTGCGAGACTACATGCATGGCACTATAAATACCCAGGCAATGTAGCGTAATGGTCAAAGTGTTTAGTGTTGGTTTCTGTGCACCTTTGCCATCTTAACTACAGAGGTAGAGGCAGTGAAGAGACCACCATGAGAAGAGGATGTATTCCTAATGCTAAAGCTGAAGCTAAAATTATGGACGTTGTTGACAGCAGTAGCTGCTATCCAATCGTAACATGCTCATAAGGCTTTTTGTGGTTTTGTTCAGTGTTGTACGTAAACATCTTCAATGCAAAAGTACCACAACCACAACAACAGTTAACGATCCCAGTTAACTACTGCAAACTTCCAAAAAGGACACAATCTGCTGTGTTTGATTTGAGACATGACTCTCTCTGTCTCTGCTCTAGCAGGTAAAAGACTGACTGTAAATGACTGAGTTGGTACACAGTGACAGTCACAGGATAAACTATCATTCCTGATTTTGCAACTTTGCGGCAAAGCTCACCTCAAGGCTCAGCTCTACAAAGCAACACAAGTGACTGATTAGAGAAAATAAGCCAGGAAGAAAGAGTGGTTTCACTGAGAGAAACACAAGGAACGGGACAGAAAAAGATCCTCAAAAGGAACAGAATGGGGAAAAAGAGGAAACCAGCCAAGGATCTGAAGTCTGCGATCAGTTGAAGAGGAAACTGTCGAAGGTGGCCTCTTACCTTCACTGGTCACTGTCGATCCATTTATCTCTTCATACCAACACTGCCCATCCGCGCTCTGTGATGAATCGTTTAGGGCTTGGTACAGTAGCTCCTCATTAGCTGGATGTTCTTGGCCTTTCTTCAGGTGCAGCCAAGTCGGAAAGCTTTTTAAAGGGGAAATGTTCCTGTTGCGCCACTTTTGAGCGGGCACGGCCCGTGGTGGAGGCTGGCAGCGCTCTCCTTGACACTTCAAACAGTTTTCATAAATGACAGCTCTTTTGTCTTGCTGTGAGTCTTGTAATGGTACTGCTGGTGCCAAATTAAGCTCATTACCAAAAGCAGGGCTCATTGACTCATACAGGTTCAATCTGTGTGTCTTTGCCTCTGGCTGGCTATCTGTGCCTGGAAAGCCGAGCAGATCAGCTAAAAGACAGGCTAATTTCTCTCTTCCTTTTTTTGGCAGCAGTGACTCCTCACTCATCTTCACAGTTGGCATCTCCGCACTGTGGATGATTTCAGAGCCAGGAGAGGTCTCCTGAATTTTCATCTCCGCACCAGTGTGTTCACTGGTACTGGGTCTGCATGGTGATTTGTCACCACTTTGATCTGATGGATTAAAAATATGATGTTCTGGAGGCAAAATTTAAAAAAAAAACAAAACAAAAAAAACCTACAACTTTGATTTCTGTCCCAAATCAAAACAGCAAGCTGTGGCTGCTACATCAATGTTTTTTGCCCAGCGTGCTTTAAAACCGTTTATGCATGCAAGAGAAACCACACGCAGCGTGCATGAAAGACTTCAGAGGAGTATCCTTACCTGGTGTGGCAGGTATCACTGAAGAACTACAAGGGCTGTATGGAGTCCCCTGTGAAATATTGACGAAAAAAATGACTTTTATTTTAACAGTCCACTCTAGTATTGAAATATGAGGGAAAGGCTCGCAATGACCTACATATTAGTTTATTTTTTGTCAACAAAGCTGATAAAAAGAACAAAAGTGACTCAGGGACTTCACGCTTCAACAGCCTGGCTATGGCTCACAAGCCCACTGCTTCCTCTGAGAACAAAAATCTATAAAATGACTCAAAATTTTGTGCTTTGTTTTTTCTTATAAAACAATTACACAAACTCCCCAAGTGAGAAACCAACCAGGTTCCTTAAATCTTATTACATCCATGTGATTGTAATTATAATAGTCACGGTTTAATGTGTCCTGTGAACTAGCCCTTTTCCACTGAGCCAGTGAACACTACAGGGGTAGATGGTGTTGTTCAGGCTGAAGGAGTTGGATCCCCTCCCGTGGCATTCATGTCTGATCCATCTGGCCAATAACTAGTATTCATCTACTTCACTGTGGACCAACGGAAAATACAGAGCTGATTCTTTTTTTTTTTTTTTTTTTATCTAGCCAATCAAACAAATGCAGCTTGCACTCTTAAATAAATGCACTGCCAGCAGGTGGAGCTCTCTGTATTGAGTAAAAGTGACTAATAAGGAACAGAAAAAACCTTCAGCTACTTTTGTACCTGAAAGCAGCAAGCCATCAGATAATGCACTGTATATGTGTATAACTCCCTGTTACTCCAAAAGTCAACAAATGATTAATCCTTAAGCCATCGCTGGCCAATCAGAACATGTATCATGTATCATGCAATTCTGAAAAAGCAAAAAACTGTCTCCAATTCTAGCTCTGAATGAATGAATGAATAAAACAGCAAAATAGTTCGGCGCTCACAGGCGAGTGAAGCACGCACGGAGTTAAACAGCTTGAAGTGAGCCTAAAGGGCATTAAATAAAGATTGTGTGTTTTGACCTAGATATGCATACACAGATATACAGATGCAGAGGTGTAATAAGGATAGAAAATTGCAAGTCACTCATAACTTACAAGGTGTGAATCTGCCATATTCAGTGACAGTGTAAAACTGAACCGGGTGCAGAAACACTAACGTGTTGGACAGATGGGCCGTGGGACTGTTAGTTGTTCTGACACCAAACGCAGCGCGGCATCACCGTCAGCCCGCACGATACCACAAAGGTCACACTGACAAGCGGGCTACAGAACAGATGATACACTGATGATAAAGCCTGTGCACACAAGCTGCTACTGCGTGACAGCAGGTTATACAATGGAGCGTGTTCACGGGACCATTTGAACAGGACTGATGACTTTTTTTCCTTCGTTTTTTGAAGTTTGATGGAAAAACAGATGGTTCATGAGAGCAGCTACGCTTGTTTAACCCAGATCTGATCAACATTCCCTTTTGCCAGAAAACAAACAGAATACTTGTGTTTCCATTTACCTTAACTCCACCGCATACAGAGCAGATGGTCACGATAGTTTTGGAGACAGAAGTGAAGGAGGTGCAGGTATTACAAGAGTCACTAGAGGGTGCCACCTTGGTTTTCTTATTCGTCATTGAAAGGCCCTGAAAGAGTTCACTGACTGACTGACTATTAGGATTTTCTGAGTGAGCCTCAGGGGTTGTGGCACTGCTCTTGTCCTGTTTTGCTGCCTCTGCTGTGAACCCTAAAAGGGCTGGAGGGTCTTTAGTTGAGGCGGAGGCTTCATTGTCTTTGGCACCTCCACCTGCTTCCTGTAAAACACTCCTGGGAGTGTCATAGACATACCTAAGTGAAGTTGGCACCTGGTAGTCACGTCCAGGAACAGCAGGGCAAGTGCAAGGGCTGAGATCTTGAGCCAAATGTGGAGGCAAGCTTAAAAAAGAACCAAAGTCCTCTCCGGGGGTCATATCCAGACTGCCTGTGTAGGAGGAGAAACTGCCAGTGTACGAGGAATGGCTGCCAGTGGCGATGCCACTGTCTGATGAGCTCTGACGACCGATTTCCTGAAGTTGCCGGGGCGGCTTAGCCGCAGGCCGGTGTCCACCTCCCTGGTTGGCGGAAAGCTTCTCGCTGATCTGCAGTGGCACTTTAGCGCCCGTGTGGCTGACGTTTTCAGGTGGGTTGGAAGCCGGTTCAGTCCAAATTCCCAGCCGGCTGCCAATGCTGCAGTCTGAGTGGCTGGTGTCTGAAGTGTCAGAAGAACCGGAAATGCTGCGGTCGTCGCCCCCAGCAGACGGGCAGTAAGTCAAAGAGACTGCCAAGACGAGCAGAACATAATTAAACCTTTAATGAATTTAATCAACAAAAACACTGCTTTCATCAACAAAGCACATTAAGGAATCATGACGCACTCTCTGTGCCTCAGTCTTTTTTTCTTCCACTTAACGGAACAATAAATCAAAGCACCTGCCAGCGCACCCAAAAACTTTGGTCGTGTTTTCTACCTGTGCCACTCCCATGAGAGAGCATGCTCAGTCGTTTCTCTAGCTCCTGGGCCTCGAGGTTCAGCTTTTCCTCTGAAGTGGTCTGGCTGCCACTAGGATCTGTAAAAAAAACAAAGGGCTGTATTATAAATAGCAGCCAGCATGATCTCAATCATGAAAAGTCGGGCAGAGAAAAATGAAGTGTAAGTGCTAAGTGTGATGAATCTCGACACTGTCAATGAGATATGGGATCAAATGTGACGCAGCTGAACCGCGGCGGTGACACGGGCACAGCTGCGAAAACACATCCAGCTACTCTAAAGACATGAGAGGGGACACTCTAAACTGCAACGGTCTCACTCAACTGTCTGTGAACGCGCAAACAGTGTCAGCCACAAGGTGTAAGTGAAAAGGAGTAAACAACTTTGCGGACGTGTGCTATTATTTGATCCCTGAGTGTAGCGTGCTGTTGGACAGGCAGAGAAAAGGGTCACACAGGGGAACACCTAGCAGTATTTGTGCACTGAGGGGTGTATTAATAGTGCTGCCACGTGGCTCTGCTGGTACGCGTTCTGCTGCTGGCGGCAGTGCATGAATCTAATGTGCCTTGGACCATCAAGGTCAGTTCTAACACTGGGCTGATATATTTTTTTATATCCATCTGAATCCTGCATCAGTAAAGTGGTAAATATACCATAAGTCTGAAATCCCAGGTGATGAGTACTGACCTCCAGTGCACAGGAGTGTCTTAAAAGGTGTTTGGAAAAGGTCACACTGGGAAAAAATTAAAACTAAAAAGAGTCTTTTTCCCCCCCACATGTTGACCACACATTCCTTTAATGGTGCCGCTTGAGAAAGCAGGCTTCCTCATATACATATATTTATACATATAGGCTGAGGTTCCTCCATTATTTTTCCTTTAAGTATTTTGTAGATTTTTCCTGTTTCTGATTGAACTCCATGCTTACATTACTGGACTACAACATACCTTTGCATGAGTCAAAGTTAGGGTCTTGTTGTAACCCCTTAGATCATCCTCTGCCTGAAACAAGCAGCTATAGCCTCTCCCTTTAAGCTGACTTTCTTCTGATTGCCTGCCACTCAGAAACAGAAGGTCTGGACAGCAGGTGGGTGGAGTTTCAGTGCTCATACGACCATATTTGAGATATCCTCTGACATCACAGTGTTTAGAGCAGTCTGAAGCCTGAGCTTTTGGCTCACAGAGATTACTGGCACATACACTAACCTCATTACTTGAAATTCTGGCCATGTTTAATATGAGCATCCCCTATTGTGGCAGTATAACAGAATATTGAAGCAATACTGTAGAAACTGCAAAAAAAACTACATC